CAGGTCTTTGTATTCTGATATTAATATTTCTACACCATTTTATTGTTGTTTGTAGTATTCTCTGGTTACTCTTGAAGTTGAGCACCTTTTTCATGTTTATTAGCCATTTAGATGTGTTTTTTTAATGAAATCCCTGACCTAGTCTTTTGCCCTTATTCTTACTGGGTTGTCTGTCTCTTTATTATTTATTTGGAGGAATTCTATGTGTATATTTGGATATNAGATGGCTTTTTTTGAAGATAGTTTAATGAAGGGACTACTTGGAGAGGTGTTGTCATGGTTTAAGGTAACCAAAAAAGGATGATAAGTCATCTAGGAACTGAAAAAAAATACAACTCAACTTTTTAAAGACTTTATATTTTTCAAATGTGTGTTTTCAAAATGTGAAAAAATTGGGATAGTTAACCTAGGGAAGACCAATTCATTTTCTAGGACCTACCTCAAAAACCACTTCTCTGAGTCTTCTCTCACCTAGACAGATTTAAGGATTATAGAACTTTGTTCACAATTCTGTTCTACCACTTCTATTCAATAGTAGCTAGTTATTTTTTTGATAATATTAAAAGCATTTCACATTTACCAACTGTTTTAATATGTAACAACCCACCGTGCTAAGTCCTTTACGCATATTCTTACTTTTTATCCTCACAATAACCCTGGGAGGGGTAGATACTGTTGCTAGGCTCTTGGGATGCATCAGTGGACAAAACAAGTTCCACAAAGGCTGCCCGGTCTGTATGTGGGATCCGAACCCTCGGCGGGAGCGCCACCACGCTCCCAAGCGGCGCAGTATAGCAGTGCGCCACCGGGCCGGCCCTTAGATGTGTTTTTTTAATGAAATCACTGACCTAGTCTTTTGCCCATATTTCTACTGGGTTGTCTGTCTCTTTATTATTTATTTGGAGGAATTCTATGTGTATATTTGGATATGTGCCCATTGTTATGTGTTGTAAATGACTTTTGCCATTCTGTGGCGGATTCAAGCTGAGGTATTAAGAATAGGTAGGATTTGGGTAGGCAAAAATTAGTGTTTCTCCTTAGATGATACAGTGAACAAGTTATAAAGAAAGAAAATATAATTCACACATGAAATAGTTGAGTAGTTTAATTGGACTCAGGGTCCTTAAAGTGAAGCAGTAGAGATAAGACCAGAAAGCTCAAAATATATTGCACCAGAGAAGCTCTAGAAGCTACCTTCTAGAAATATACCTCAACAGAGCACCTCATTAAATCAGTACTTACCTCCCTTCTGTTCAGGAAAAATTAAGGCTAGACAACTTGAAAGGAAGACATTTTTCCTGTCTGGGTGGATAGCTCTGGGCTTTTCCTCCTCTGCCAGGGAATGAATCTTCCTTTTTTGATATTGCATTAGTGTCATTGCCTGGTGAAAAGGTGTGTCTTAGAGCTGGAACCAAGGGGTAGAAGCCTGGAGGAACTTCCTTCATTTTGTCTATGAGGGGCTTTAGATTTCTCAGAGAATGTTACTGAATATTAAAATTAGAGCACCTTCATGCAGCTGCCCTTTCTGACCTGATGTTTCTTATTATCTCATGCCTTGAAAGTTTGGGGCTTTGATTTCCTAAGACTTGGTATGTGTTCCTTTACAGAACTCAAAGGCCAACAGCTGAAGAGATTTTTGGTTTTATCATCCCTTCAGTCTCAGCCTCCATCTTAGGTTGTCTGCACCAATGTAAAGTGTATCCATCTGTTCCCCAGTGAGATTATTCTAGCTTTTTAAAAAATCTGTGCTGAATCTGATGGATTTGCTTCTCTCACCACTAATCAGACAGAAGCGTTCCTGTGGTTTCACTTCTTAATTCCGTATTCATCAGCACTTGTCTTAGCTGCAGGTGCCTAAAAACCGAAAATACGGTATATTAGGAAGATAGACGTTTGTTTTCATCTCATGTAAATAGAGGCAGTCTAAGGGTACAGAGGCTACTCCATCATCATCCAGAACACAGTCTTCTTTCATTTCACTGATCCTCCTTCTTTATCCAAGAGGGCTGCTCCATGTATAATGTGTGCATTTCAGCCAACAGGAAGAAAGAGAGAAAAAGAAGGACATTTCCCCTAGTCCCTGAAGGACTTTTCAGAAGTTGCACACTCCACTTTGCTTATATCCTATGAGCCAATATAAATACTTAGTTAACATAGCCTAACCTAAGTCTAAGGGAGGCTTAGAAATACATGTCTGGCTAAAAATGGGGATTTCTGATCCTATACAAGAAAAGGAGAATAGATATTGGGGTACAGCCATTGATCTCTGCCACATAAACCTTTTTCTGTTGTGATTTAAACATTTTCCAAGATGTTTAAGGAGAAAAGCTTAGAGTAACATGGGTACATAACCAATTTTAAGTAGATTTTTTAAAATCAGAATTAGCTTATAATTTTTGATTCTGAGATTTTTAATTCTTGGCTCAGTTCTTGGCTTTTATTTTAAGATTTTTACACTGGTCTAGAAGGGTAGAAATTTATCAACTTTTAAATTATTTATCATTTTTACTAAGTTTTGGAAATTTGACTTCTTTCCTAAAAACTGATTTAAGGTTTTATTAAACTTTTAAATCTAGCAAATGCCATTGAGCATTGCAAAAGGTTTAACTTTATAGAAGATAAATATATTAACCCACTATTAAGAATAGCCTATAGAAAACATATTAGCAATAGGTAATATAAAAGCTCTTGGTTAGAATGAATTCAAATATATGGAAATTAAATGAAAATCCAGAATTATTTTACTTCACTAAAAATTAGCTGATATAGTGAGCACCAGATATAATCCTATAGACACTGCAGATTTTTTAAAGTTCTATTCTTCATAGTAGAACTTGAAAAAATGTAGTATTTAATGTAATTATTCTTATTATTAAAAATGATTTACTTTTAAAACCCAGTGTGTAACATTGTAAGTGATCATCGTTTTTTCCTCCTTAGGCAAGAAGTTTGATAGCTGTAGGACTGGGTGTTGCAGCTCTTGCATTTGCAGGTAAGATAAATAAAGAATTCATATTAATAAATGTTGCAGGAGAAATATTTCTAAGTAGCTTCTATAATGATTCATGAGTAGACCCTTAGTATTCTGGTTTTTGGTTTTCAGATATTATACATTTTTATTTTTTCTTGTAGTTACTGAACATTTGCAAAGTCTACATAAACTTTATAGTGATATAGCGAACAAAATTTATGATACAAAAGCCAGGAAAACTAGCTGCAATAATAGTTGATCTTCCTGGCATTTTTTTTTTTTTTTTAGTTTGAGCCATGGTGTACTATAAAAAGCAATCTTTAATATGAAACATTATAACATATGGTGTTCCTTTATTCTCCCATATTAATTTTTCTTGCAGATAGGTTTACACATTTTGAGCTGTAATCTTTCTGAGCATAGCTGTTCCCTGTAGCGTGTTTATTACTTCATATTTTAACATATTGGTGTAATTTCTTTGATAAACCCAGGAGAATTTTTTTCACTGCTAAAATTATCTTTCTAGAAAGAATAGTTATACAGATATAAAGTAAAATTGCTATCTGATTTAGTCATTAACTTACAGTTTTAAATTGCATGGCGATTCCCTAATTAAATGTTAATCTGAGAGTATTTCCTTGTTGATAAAGTTTTATTTTGTTTTAGCACTTGTATTTCTAAATTCTGTGGATTTGATCATGTTAATTGGATCTTTTTAGGTGAAGCCACATTCCGTTGTGTTTATGGAGTTTAGTAGGAT